CATAAGTATCACACTTTACGTATGTTTAATAATAATAATATTAACATCATACCAACTGACGGGACGAAAAAATTATGTGACGTTACATCACAAAGATCTGATGTGAGTTGACAACGTTGCCATTACTGCTTGGCGGCAGAAGTAGTACTTCCCTAAACGAACTCTCTGAACTCTGCTAACTCTTCCTGTAACAATCAACTTTTCAAGAAATTACACAAGAATTAAAGTTGTCAGGAATGTTACTATATGTCATATCACAAATTATTCCTATGTCCACGTATTAGTTTGGGCCCATTGTGCAACAGCGAGATCGGCATGTCTTATATTTCTCCGGTGGTAAAAAAAACTGTAAAACATTTTTAAATTTAAATTTTTAACACTTTTTTACACTTTACCTTGTTTTTAACAGGTATGGAGGTACTGTTACTAAAAATAATCGATTTTGTAAAATAACAATCTCTTAATTTAAATCTAGTACGAATTGGATCTACGTAAATAAGCCCTGGTCAACTGAGTAATACTTGACCAAATATAAAGAGGAATGATTGCTAATGAAGCTTCATGTTGTTCACGTGATCTGTCAATTTGGTCGAGTATTATTCGACAGTAATTGTTTTGGACGGATGTTGGGCGGAGAGCGAGATTAGACCCCCAGAAACGTAATTAATTTTAATCGTACGGAAATGTCTTGAAGAAACTTAACACTTCCTTGAAGTGAAACAACTTTTCGCTACGCTGATTTTACGCCGGTCGAGTTCATCGGTAGCGGCAGCGCGACAAACTTTTTTAACCGACTTCAAAAAAGGGGGAGTTTTCAATTCGACTGTTTTTTATGTATGTTACGCGATAACTCCGGTATTTGTAGAACCGATTTTCATGATTCTTCTTTTTTGTTGGAAAGAGGGCACCTCCATAGTGGCCCATTTAATTTTGAAGAAAATCATCCACCTCTAACAGTGGCTGTTCACGCATGAAGATTCATTTTTATAAATGGCGCCTAAATTTTATTATTAGGGGCAATTATTTTAATGGTTGATTTTGCTACTCTTCAATTCAAGGCGTTTTTCTCTATCAATATAATTTGATTTTATTATCTCCCGTGTCAAGTCCCGTAAAGTGGCAAATTAGGGGATGAATCCGGGTTTGCGCACTTTCCGGTAACCGATAAAACTTGGTAATTATATGTAATTCCACGTACTTTGAGGTCGGTTTTTTTAATTGCTACTAAACGTACCAAATTGTTTACATTTACTATTTACATAGAACTATATCATTATGAACTTAATGTCAATTGTCTAACGATACGAGTTTTCAAGAGAATTCTCGCGCGGTCTCAGCATTATGCTATGTATAATTTTTATACAAAAATTTTTTTTCCATTCCGTTCCACGGCAATGTAAGTTGATCCTTAAGGTGGTAAAGCGTCAACTTTGCTGATATTACATAATAACGGCACCTCGCTAAGTGCATACACATTGATGTCAGCGACTGTACCTTATTCTTTTGTTTCGGTTTTTAAATTTAAATAGCGCAGCTTTAGAACACATAAACTTCGATTTTCAAACTACCGACATACCGAACGTACACGATTGCGCAGGAGTGTTACAGCGCTAATAAATGGCTCACACTAGTCCAATTTGAGCAGTTTAACGCATTTTTCTATTAGCTACAGTTGCGAAACAATGATGTAACTTTGTGTAGGAAACATCGATAAGACAATGTTTTCTATAATGCTCGTAGGTGAAGACAACCACAGCCGCCTGGTTGGGATAACGTTTGCCTTCTACATAGGATATCTCAAGTTCTATTTGTACTGGTATTTCGCATTGTGTCGAAAAGTGCGGACGCGACTTTCTGTGAAGGTGATAATAATAATAATTATGTTAGAGAACTTCATCAATTACCTGGTTTGAATAAAGAGAATTCCAGAACAACAGAATTCACTCTTGGGCTTAGTAAAATTGGTTCTATCTGAAATCGAACCCGGGACCTTTTTATCCAGTGCTCTCAGTGCAAACCGTTAGGCTACCAAGCTCGTGTAATGAATAGAAGGACGCTACAACAACGTAGACCCAAATATAGACTCGTGTATGATCAGGGACTCATCACACTTGTCGGAATCGGCTGGAGCCGGCCAGAAGAAGCTTCACGTCCACTGAAGAGTCGACACTACCTCATCTCGAATTCAAATTTTTCCCGTACTTAATATGGTTCATTTTGGGGTGGAACACCTGGGACACGGGCTTTACTTCAGAATTATTTTTTTTTACAAACGAAATGGCTTTAGCCATTTGAAAAATGTATATCGTATACTATATTGTTCCACTTAGTTCAGTTGATATTGAAAAAATCTATACAATGTAAAGTGCATATTGAATTGAGCGTTTTCTTGTATAATTTCGAGGTAAGTTTGTGTTTTTCTTTCTATAGTGAAAGTTTTTAGGAATCTTGTTTTCGCACCGTATACTAATCAGCGTATATCTCAATTATACTATATATTTTTTCCAAACTGATTGATGATTTGACGTTGTATAGACTCTTAATAAGAGTGGAGAAGACGTCATACGTTTCGCCTGTGTAGAGTCGCATCGTTTGTCTATAAGTGCGGTACTTCTGTAGGTCAAGGAGACAATCTTTATCTCTTAATGTCTCCAGGTCTTCACACCAGGCATATACAATATAGGGTGAGTAGCAGAAGAGCTCCTTGTGAGAGTTCATCCATGGTAGTACTGCCAGCTGACCTATGTGTTTCTGCCGCCAAGCAGTAATATCAGCATTACTGTGTTCCGGTTTCGAAGGGTAAAGGTGTTGGTGAAATTACAAATTGCGATTTAAAGCTCTAAGTGGCACTGCAACTGTTAGACAGGCGTGTAGCTTACCATCACGACTTGTTCGTCCCGTCACTTGATATTATTTAAAAAAACCATTCACGAAGTTTTAAAACTAAAGTGAATCAAAAACTTTTCACTAAAGGTTATTTATTATACAGTTTCTGCGTACTTGGATGACAAGAATCCGTGGTAATGAGTAACCCGTTTAGCTCTTGCAGGTAGTCTTGTTCAATGATGTTTGAAATAAGTATTGTAAGTGATAAATGTGTACAAGGCTTTACGTCTCAGGATGACGGGCGCAGGGCAGTGCCTCTCAAATCTTTGCGATTTAAAGCTCTGAATGTCACCGCGACTGTTATGGACAGGCATGTAGCTTACCATCAGGCGCACGACTTGATCATCCCGTCACTTGATATTATATATAAAAAAAAATAACTCCTCGTTTAACTGCATGGCAAACAGCCCTAAATTTATAAGAAAGACGCCTACGTCCAGCAGGAAAATGCGATTGACTGATGATAATGGTGTTGAAATCCATTCGGAATTTCAAAATTTGAAACACAAAGAATGGGTTAAGACTTGTCTCCATCCCGCAACTGCTAATCTGAATCATCTCCTTAGAGAAGACCTGTGCCCATGACTGATATAAGATGTTGCATTTCGCAGTTCAATTTAAACTTGTTGTCAAGCTTACAGTCTTATCATATTTTTAAACAAAATATTGAAAGTATTAAAAACATTTATGTTTGACAGCAATTGTATGTAAACAAAAACTATTTTCGTCAATCACGTAACTAAGATGTGCTCATTGAAAAAATTAGTTATGAAAAGACATGTCACATGTCTGCAAATATGATTTTCACTTGCACCCCACGATGTTGTTGAAGTGGGAATCTAAGCCCGGTAACGTAATTTTTGCTATTACTTTATAATAATATATAAGTTACCCACCTTTGGCCAGTCAATATGCTTTTTAAATTTACAATGCCTTAGGTAACCGAGCGAGTCGACAAAGTTCTCTTGACGTCCAATCAAATTGCACAGTCTACGAAAGAAATTCCTTAATTTATATTCATGAAATTTCCAATTCTAGTAGTAGTAGGGCTCCTTGTGAAAGAATTCGTCCAGGGAAGTACTGCCGCCTGTGAGCAATACTGCGTTCCGGTTTTGAAGGGTAAGAGTGACATTACAATCACATAGGACTTATTAACTTATGTTTCAGAGTGACGGGAGCGGTGGCAATACTCCTTAGTACTTTGCGATATAAAGCTCTGAGCGGCACTGCAACTGTTATGGATAGGCGTGTCCCTTACCACCAGGCGCACGACTGTATCCTTGATATCGTATAAAAAATGAAACTAACATAAGAGACAAAAAAGGTTTTGGATTTCGATTCGATCTATCATCGGAGATAATTGAAGTTGAAGTTGTGCCGCACGCAGATGTGCCGAATAGTGAAAAAGGAAAAGTAAAAAAAGGAAAATTAAGCAAGATTGTGTCGTTTCGGTCGGGAATCTACATTTCGCTTAGTTTGATCGAACATTCTTTTAAAAATCTCCTCTAAAGAATAAATTTTGCCATCAGCCAGCAAAAGAGAATTGTCGCCAGCTTCTTGGGCGCGATACCGTACAGTGCAACTCTCGATACATTTTTTTAGCGTTAAGGAGATAAATTCTGGACTTATTTCTATATTAGGCGTATTTATACGCATTAACCTATCTATAAACTGAAAACATTCTAGTTTATTTTGACATTGCACAAAGTGTGAGTGGGTGGAGATATCTTTTCGTGAAAAAACGTTTTTTTTTTATACGACATTGACACTAAAAAAACTGATTAGATAACGCGTTTGTTTTTAAACATTTTCGGAAATACAGTGTTTATTTTAAGTATACACTGTGATTCACTTGTAGCAAACAAAAGAAAAGAAACAAAAACTAGACCTTCACTCACATGCATGACGTATATTGTCACCTGTGGGAATATAATCCCTAAGTGGGTCAAATGCAGTGTACAACTGTGTCTTTGTAGTCATATATTGTCATCGAAATAAAGACTATAATCTAAACAACCGTTATGTAACTGTTCCTTTGACAGGCTCCATATCCATATCCGTTCGCCTTATTCGATAAGCCTTTCTGAATTTAAATTCACAACGTATCTTTTCAGAACGATGATCCTACTACACACTGATTGGACGGCAATGTCGTGATAAAGATCCTCATTGGCGGAGCGCTCGTGCCGCTGTCGCGTCGGCGGGCGACAAGCGCTCCGGTTGGTGGAAATGTCGGGTTTGCAAGCTAGAGGAGAGGATATTATCAATGGAGTCGATGTTAGAGAGCAAGGCAGCGCTCTAAGGTCAGTTGTATTTGGTTACTTTAATAGTTTGATAAATATGAATGGAATAGTGGGCTTATTGTCATTGAGAGTGGGTGGTGAATAGTGGCTACCGCTAGGACAATGTAGGCGCACGTTAATGAGACAAAAATGCCAATGTCCAATGACTGTGAGCTAATATATTTTTTTATGATTGAAATAAGTGCACAAAATGCGCATTTGACATCCGTCTCATGAGATGGAAAGTGCTGACGTCAACGATGAAGCATGCAGACCTAAATAACGCCAATTCACTTTCGCCTCGCCCGAATCTCAGCCTACTTCTAGTAAGGATGATGAAAAGACGAAGGAGGAATTAAATCATGGAATTCCATGGCTCAGTCTCATGATATATCCTGTAGAATACCGATAAAGCAGGTAACTTCACAACGCTGTTCAGGGCTCTGTAACTTCGCTTCTTCTAAATCCGAGTCACTTATAAACCTCTTGACACGCTTTTGTATAAACTTTATCTTTTCTATACAATAGCACATCACCTTTCGGAGAATGTGCGCAAGAACTTCACAATTTTATTCCAGCCTCACCGTTCCTACTGCGATTTAAGAAGCTCGTGTAGAGAAGCAGTATACATTTTGCTTTTCGAAATATATTGTAAGAATTCCACGTACGTGACAAACGCTCTTCCAACTAAGTGTAATTTGCTATTGTGAATTATTGATGATGATTGATGCACTTCAATGCCTCGTCTGTTCGAACTGAGTTTCCTAATGACAATTTAATTAAAACAGCACCTTATTCGCAACTTTCTAGAGTGGAAAACCTAAAAAACCCTTGTGGTCACAATGTCCGTTCCTTCTATAAAGTTATGTAGAACATTAATGTACCGACTGCGATACCCAAGGGCTGCCACAGTTCAGTAAATGCTCCCCCAGCCCCAGCGGCGGATCTGTTGGTTGGCTCCGCCACAACACCCTACGCGCATCTGTGTGGACTCTCCAAAGAGAGTCCCATGGAGTACTTCACCGCACGGGCCAATCACCCAAATTCATTCGCGGAGGACAAGACGGGCGGCAACTACGCACCGACACGTCTCTTACCCCGTGGCCCCACCGCCACTGTGTGCATCCGCGCAGACCCGCTCGATGCGGACGACAACGAGCTCACGCGTAACACCGACCTACTAGTGCCAACCAAGCTCCAGGGGTCAGTACTTCCCTAGACCAACTCTTCGACAAGGAGCTCTACTGATAATAAATTAATTTTTAACAGTTTGTATTCTTATAATTAAAATCATTGATCATAATCATTATAAATTAATACTTATTACCGGAACAAGACATTCCTATCGATTTTAAATCAAGCTGTTTTTACGGTTTCCATTTCCACACTTTTTCACTAAACTCGCGTCTAAAGAAAAAGTTGATTTATAATCTGTATTTTAAACAACATTCTATTTTCGACTCTATCTTTTTAAATTTACGATCCATTTGGGTACATCGTAAACACAGATAATAAATTCTACATCGAAACAATAAACAAACAACTTCAAAGTGTAACGCGATTGAAATAGAGTTGAAAATTGGTAATAATAATTCGGGGTTGCTAGAGTAAGCTTGTAGGGTGACCAGCAGAGCGAGAAATTGATAGTTATAGCACTGATAGCGGCTTGTTGCAGCCTATAATTTATCTTTGCTGAGGGAATCTTAAGCGTGAAATACACAAGAGCGGGCACGAGTCGGGCGCGTGTCGGGTCGGGAGCGCGGCGGATCTTTAGTCTGTTTTTTTCGAAGACGGAGTAAAATGACATTTGAGGGGTTGCCAGTTTTCATAAAATTTTAAATAGTTATGTAGTTGTCGATAGTTTCATCGATAGTTTGTGAAAGAAGATAAAATTTTTGTTAAATTGTGTAAATGATTGCTAATTGCGTTATTGCCTTCTTTATTCTTATTTTGACCGTTGGCCTACTAGTATCGAGATCAATTTTTATTAACATACATTTTAACAAGACTAACCGGATTGGATTATACATTGAATTAAAATGAAAAACTTTAAAATATGTCTCCTCTTCGTATTTTTCATTAACGTAGTTCTATTTAGTCGATGGAATATTTATAGACAGCAATCACTATCTGCTCGCAAGCGGGCAACACTTTGTCGCATTAACTGTCATTTTACTCCGTCTTCAAAAAAGACAGACTACCTGTAATTCCGTGTATTTTATATGGACGACAACACACAGAGCGCGGGCGCGTGCGCCCATTTCACGCCCGGAAATACACGGAATTAGACCCGCCTCATATCCGACCCGCCGCGCACCCGACCCGACTCGCACCCTCTCTCTGTGTGTTTTTCATGCTTAAAACTTCACTCAATGCAATGAATTCTTACGCAACATTAAATATACCTAAAAATTACTATCCGGTAATTCTCGTAATTGAAGCAAGAAATATATGACACAGTAGTTAATACTAGTAAGTTCTTTTACTTTGTTATAGTATCGTATCTTCTAAGCATCCTGGCTAGCATTAGGGAGTTACATAAAATTAGTAACGAGCTTATTCCGGCACATCTAAATGTCCTTCGTAAGTAGCAGTAGAGCTCCTTGTGAAAGAGTTCGGCCAGTTCGTGCCATCTTACCTATTTCTACCATCAAACAGTAATGACATTACTTATGGTGACAACCATTACTGTGTTCCGGTTTTTAAGGGTACCCTTACCCTGCTGCTGGTGAAATTACGGGCACATAGAACTTGTCAACTTATTTCTCAGGGTGACGGGCTCAGTGGCAGTGCCCTCAGATCTTTACGATTTAAAGCTCTGAGTGGCACTGTTATGGAATTGCAATGGAACAGTTATGGACAGGCGTGTAGCTTACCAGCAGTCGCGCGACTGTTCGTCCCGCCACTTGATATTATAAAAAAAAATAGACTGACTCACGGATACCCAGACATAGGCTTCTAACTTATAACTCCTCACATTTTGAAAACCGATTACGTCGGTACGGCGGTGCATTGGGATGACAACTGTATGACGAAGAAAATCGTGACCTTGATCGAAACTGAAACCAGACATTAGTAATTCCGAAAAAATCTTAACAACAAAACTAACCAAGGTCATTCTTTGACCTTTATGCTAATGATCATAAATCTGGTTTGTCAGACAAATATCGGTCATCATCATTCATACAATTTGTCATGAAAACGGATTATAAGTGCACGTAATCTTGCTTGTAATAACAGGTTGGAGT